CTACTACTTCGCCGCTAACCGCCTAGTCTACGGAGCTATTAGCTATTAAGCTATTATCGTACGCCTAGCTAGCTACTAAGCTATTATCGTACGCCTAGTACTAGAAGATAAAGTACTAGAAGATAAAGCTATAGTAGTACTAGAAGCTAATAGCCTATATTAACTAGTATAGCAAGGAACGGTAGCTAAGCGATAGATATAGTAGGTTAGATTTCTATATACTAAATGTGTTACCCTCTTAGTTAAGCTCGTTAAGATAGGTAGTCGGTAGCGCCTCGTCTCTCTACTCGTCTCCCTACTCGTCTTCCTACTCGTTTCCCTACTCGTCTCCTAGCTATCTATTACGCCGATCGACCGTATTAGCCTATATAGAGTCGCTAGTATTAATAGTAGAGTCTTCGATAGCACTAAGATTACCGGTAGCTATAGTTATACGACTAGCAATAGTAGCAGCCTCTATCTCCTCGTCTATCGATACGGTACTACGACCCTAATAATACTACGTATTGCCCTCGTTAAAGTCGGCTACCTTTTCTAAGATCTATATGCCTCCGAGCTGCTAGATATTATTAGAGACGTTACTACTAGGATTTCTATATAGCTTTATATATCTATTAGAGTATAGCTTCTTAGCTCTGCTAAATACGTCGATAGAGGTATCCTTATAGATATAGTAGCTACTTAGCTTAATCCTAGTTATATTAGTTATTATAATTTATAGTGCGTAAGACTCTAGATAGCTCCCGGTTTAATACTACCTTCTTAAATGTAGCCTATATATTATAGGTCGAATTAGCGTATCGGTTAATATCCTTAGAGTACTCGTAATTATAGAGCTTAAGACACTTATTAGCTACGATAGTATATCCCTTATTACCGTTTATAGAGATTACACTTAATATTAGGATTGCCTTTTGTGCTACTAGATTAGCACTAGGATTAAGCAGCTAGCGTAGGTAGGTTATTAGGCGGCTATAATTGCCCTAACGAGCACTAAAGAATAATAGAATAAGGAAGTCGACTAATCTACGAAGATAGCCGATATCTATATTACGGATAGACTTGCGTAACGTAAGGAATTGCTTAATCTCCTTTAGTATTCGAGATATTGTCGTAAACTACGGATCTGTTCTAGGTTAGCCGCGCTAGGCAGATAGAGACAACGTATCGTTATATATCTTATCGATAAGATAGATATACTAATCGCGAGTAAGTCGAGAGATAGCGGCCTCTACTATTTCTATACGATTAACCTAGCTAGCGATAATTACTCGGCCTTTATCGATAAGCTAATAAATAAAGAGACCGATAATACGAGATCGGAAGCTCGTCTTTAATAGCTACTAAACCTCGAAGAACTTAGCCTTATCCTTACTAATCTTATTATCTCTATAATAAAAGGCAGTATTAGCCTTTAACGTCTAGGATACTAGTAATAGCTCCCTATCTCTATTATTGTCCTAATAGGTCCGTAGTAATATACGGCCGTAGTTTATTATAGTATAGAACTAGGTAGGAGAGAATAAGAGATTGTCTCGCTTATCGTACGTATCGTCGCTCTTAATACTCTTATTACGGATAGAAAGGCCGCGTAGAACAGTTATCTAGTCGCTATTGCAGATAATTAGCGGTCTATTAGGTCCGTCTTTAAAGTCCTTATCTCGATCTAGGTCTATAAAGTTAAGAAGGATATTACCCTAGACTATATATATGCCTACAATCGTAGCCTTATTATTAAAGGATAGTAGTATAGAAAGCACCTTAGTCTATGTCGCCGGCATCTTATCTACAACTAGCTACTTTAGACGACTAACGGTATTACTATCGTTATCGTCGTTACTAGCCTCTGCCGCCTCCTTCTTAAATATAGCTTTAACGGCTTTCGGGAAAGTATATACGATAGCCTTATTAATATAGAATAAGGCAGTCTTCTTGCTAATTTCTATAATCTTAATAGTCTTAGGCCCGCTATTAGTAGTCTCGCCGTTAGTAGTCGGATCGGCTAGGTTCCTTAGGATCTATATATAGGCTTTATCCTCGTATATATTCTTAAAGATATCGTCTAGATCTAGAGGCTTGTCGTAGTAGATTATACCCTTCTTTAACCCGCCCTCTAGAATATACTTATTCTCTATAAGGTACGATATTGTAATACTAAGTATCTTATTAGTTTTACTACTCCGCTAGCTATATAGGTCTATATACGATTAAAATTATCGATAGTCTTACTACTCTACTTCTTCGGGTCGTTAGCTAACTCGCTAATCTTCTGTATCTAGATTTCTATATTCTTATCTGTTAGGATCTATATAGTATAGTAGGAAACGAGGAAGATCAACACTTGTAAATAGGACAGGAGGGAGGTTTTTACTAACCAAGTTGGTTTCCTACCCAAAACAATACATAGAAACAGACCTGCATAGGCCGAAAGGCACTACAACAGGCAAATGAAATATCTATCTATCTATATAGTATAGTACGAGGGAATAAGGCTAAGGCTATTTAGGCACTCGAGAACTCTCCGGCTTGCTCTATTACTAACGAGAAAGATACTAAGGGCCTTTAGGAAGAAAGAGGTATTAATATAAGCTATTAAGAAAAGGATTTACGATATAATTATCGTAGTACGCTTCCGGATAATATTATACCTATCCTAGAAGGTTTCCTAGTACTAGGCGGTATTCTTTCGGATATTAGGGAGAAGGTCCTAGCTAAGAAGCTAATACTATATCGGGATATACTAATAAATAATACTATCTATATCGGTAAGGTCGAATTCGGTATAGCTAAACTCTAGATAGTAGGTACTAAAGAGATCCTTGCCGATAAGGGTCTTAAGCTCTATACGTATAATACGAGCGCTAAATAGGCGTTCTTCTAGGAGGGCATCGAGGAGAGACTTAAGGTTTCTCTTATACTACTTAGATCGCCTCGTTAAGACGCGTAGTTAACCCTAGGTTACGTCCTACTAGGCCTTCTTACCTAGCTTACTAACTAGGAACTTTATAAGGTACGGTATAGTAATCTTATACTTATTTATAAGCTCCTTAATCTCTTTATAGTACTTATCGCAGTTCCTCTTCCTACGAGCGGCCGCTATAAGGCGCTTTTCTTCGGTAAGAGGCTAGTCTACTTCTTTACTATCTTCTTCGCTAGCTTTATTACTATCTTTATTACTATCTTCTTCGTTACTATCGCGAAGCTCGAGATCTTCCTCGTCGTCGGATATCTCTTTATCCTCCTCGCTAAGGTCTTTATCTATAGATACCTTATTCTAGAAGTTACTAATCTTATCTATCCCGGCTAGTCTTACTAATTTATCTAGAGGGTTAGAGAGAATGCCGCCGCTACTTAGATAGATTAGTAGATCGGTCTATCTACCTATAAGAATAGTCTATTCCTTAGGTCCTTTAGGTAAAGTAGTATTATCGTCGTCGTCTAGGCTAGTTATATTCTTATTATAGTTATAGGCGATAGTACTACTAACTAGGTTATTATTAGATAGTAGAACCGAGGTTAAGGAGGATAGACTATCGCTCGATATACTAGTAGCGGTATTAGCGGTATTAGTAGCGACTTTTAGGTATTTTAGCCTTAGCTTTAGAATAGCGTCTACTATCTAGTAATAATATAATAAGTACTACTTAGGCGCCCTTAATAGCCACACAAAAGTTGTTTAGAAATAGCTAGAGAAGGATCTCGAAGTATCGAGTCGGCTATAGGAAGGTTCTCGTTTACTCTTAAAGGCTATATAGTAGTTAGTAGGCGTCGGACGGAATTTTCGTCTATCTAAATAATAATAGCTAGGATTAGGAGAAGGACCTCTAAGTATTAGCTAGGCGATATAGCATATTTTATGTTAGGGTGTTTCTAGTAGTATAGCTAGCTACCTAGTAATCTAGATAGCTATAGTCGAGTCGGCTAAGTAGAATAGCGAAAACTTAACGCGCTAACGTCGTATAGACTTATTTAGTAGGTAGAATGAAGCGCAATTAGTAGGGCTATAATCTCCGCTACTTAGATTATTATATTTACGTAGTCGCGAAAAAGTAGTACGTCGTAGGCTAGTTTAGTGCGGCTTGTTCTTAGGCTTATAGGCGAAGAATTATTAGGTATGTTTGTAATTAGCTAGTCGGAAAGTTCGGAAGCTAGCCCTAACTACTAATCTATTACGTGCACCCGGTCGCAGTTTGATTCTTTATGCCCACAAGCCTGATGGGAGGTAGGGGAAGACTGCGAACTCGCAGCTCCGGACGCCAGGTGCCGCCAACCCCAAATCAAGCAAAACAACCATATTCGCCATGATATCACCCATAGCTTCGCCTATCTTCGAACACATCCGCGCCTTCACTTGAAGCATGGGCTGAAATGACCGGCCCGGGTGGTTTTCGAGAATGAATTAGTGCCTATAGTGAAGACCTGAGCGGTTGAGATTCACGCGACACTGCTATCCATCATAGCGCAATCTGCTGAGATGGAACGAGCACCGACACCACAGGCCTTTCACGGCTTTGAAAAGGACGAGATAATGGAAATCGATACTGAAGCTAGACCGCAGTCTATTAATGCGGATAAGAAGGCACCGAGTATGCTCGGCCACTTTAAGGAAGTCCAGCACGTGCGGCAAGGACTTCGTCAGAGACACATTCAGATGACTGCGCTCGTAAGTCTGGTCTCGTGACGTCGGTATTGTTTTTTCGTTCCATTGCACGAGATACCGATTCTTGGATTCATTGATGTAGCACTGGCCCATCCGGAAGAAAGAATCCCAAAGCAGAAGGGATGGAGGAGGCTCAATGTGCTTTGGTCGTAGCTGGTGAACATGTGAGAATCGCACACAACCGACACCTCCGCGTGCCAAAGCCCCAATCCCCTTTCTCCGCGTCGTTCCTGCATTCAAGGCTCTTGCTGACTCGAAACTCTACGCGAAAGCGGTCCTTCATTGATGAAGCAGAGGCCTTGTTGTTCTCTGTATGGCTCTCCGGAGGGTAAGAGAAATTGCAAATCTACTGAACGACTCCATTGTTAGGAAGACATCTCGATGATCTTCTTCGCCATACTTGGCAAGGTGTCGGCCATGACATCCATAGTCCCAAACACCTCTGAACAATCGTATTTCTCATAAGCCGAACAGTAAGCACCCTTGAAGCCTACCAATGCTGCTGCGGATACATCCCACATGTGAGCTGCTGCGAACCACTTTTGATCCTCCTTGCCAAACTTCTTGAACACCGGTCGATAAGCAGCGAGAGCCGGCTTCGCAACGCCTTGCGTGTCACAGCTCACGAATCTCTCAGCTGGCATCTCCACACCCCCACGGTTGAAGTAGCCCTGCACTCGATTGATGTCTGCAGTGGTCAAGCACCAGACATCGAAGCCATGGCCCCTCAAAAGCTCGATACATTCTTTGGCGCCTTCTCGAAGTTCCAGTAAAGAGTATCCTTCCTGGCACTTTTCTCGTTCCTCGTCTGTGCAAAGCGTCTCTGGATCTTTGACGCCAGACAACCAGAGCGTGCGATAAAATACAGCTTCCATGACATCTTTGTAGGACTTGTGTCTGCCACTGATTGACAGAAATGTGAAGTCTAGCTCGGCATGCGTCATCCAAGAGTGGCCAAAAGATGTTCCATTCAGTCCATGTTCGCAGAGTTTCGAGCCGATGACCTCGTCGATGCGTCTGTGGAAAGCGTCGAAGCAGACTAGAGTTCCGACGATGTCAAAGACAACGTGTTTGGCCATCATTTATTGCGAATTTGCTTGAATTGTGTGTGTTCCCTCCTTCAATCTCCGTTCCTCTGCTGCGATCCAAGCTCCTCTTGTACTTGTGGTGGGAGAATCCCGTATCGTGGTACATTTTAGTCGCGGCGGCATATCCATAACGATATTACTAGAACCAGCCGGCCCGGCGGTCTTGTGGCAGTCGTGTCAACTTCGGCCAGACTCCACTGCGTTTCGGGTAAGGTAGGCCAGCGACAACGACCGGCGAACAACAAGGCATTGTCACTCGGCCTGTGAAGCTGCTATTGTTAGAACGGAAACCCTTATACAAGCTTTTTAGAGCATCGCAAAGCGCAAAGCGCCCTCTCTAAAAATAATAATTCTTAGTATTCTCTAAATTACAACCTACTTTCTAGCTAAAATCTATCTACATAGTATCTTTACTTACTATATAGTGCTTCTTCTAAAGTTCTCTAAATTTTTAAGTATATTTTAATATAATAATTATACTTTAGTAATTATCTAGGGATATTGTCTAATAATATTAGACCTAGAGTAACCAAATCTCTTATTAAAGAGAATATAGCTTTTATTACGAGTTCTAGTATATTTATAATAAATATTATATAGAACTTACTAAGATATATATAATTAAAGTTTTCTAATTCTAAGTTATTTTTTAAAATATACTTTATTTATGTTTAAAAGTACTAAGTATATTAGGTAGAAATATATTCCATATATTAGTATAACTAAATAGGAGGCAAATACTCTATAATAAAGTAAAGTTTTTTCTATATAAAATAAGAGAATTGTTTTTATAGATATAGTAATAAAACAATTTAAATAAACTACTATATAGATCGAGACTATTTACGAATTACTAGGTAAACTTAAATATAAACCAAAAATTAGTAGAATTTTGTAAAATAAAGTAATTACTACTAGTAGAAAGTTATATTATCGAAGGTAGAATTACAAAGTAGGCGTTACAGATAACAAATACTTTGATTTTCCGTAAATAAAGTCGGCCTCTAAGTCTAGATTTAGATTTTTAATTAAATCTCTACTAGTAGTACTATAGTAGCTATAGCTTCTAACTCTTAAATATTCTTTTACTAAACCTATAAACTAATTATATTAGTTAATTTGTATTCTAAGCTCCTCTAATACTTTAGCCTATATCTAATTGCTTTATATTCTTTAAGTATGCTAGTTTATAACTATATATAGTTTGAAATATTTATAGAATACAATTGTAGTTTTTCTTGATTTATAGCAATGTGTTTTCCCTAGTAAATTGAAACTATATCCTACTGCTAGTATTTTTGTTATTATCTCCGGTAGTTATAATAATATTTTTTAAATATATCTTTAAATTGGTAGTTATATCTTAGCTATTCTCTACTAGATAGTACTTCTTTCTATTACTATTTTCTTTGAGCTAAATAAATGTGTGTTAAAGTCTTTTATTACTGGTCTACTCCTAACTAGGATAAGCAGCCTTACCCTATTTGTCTGAGAATAAAAGCTAGTAGTGTAACAACTACTCTTTCCCTAAGTTCTATCCTCTATAGGCCCTAGTTCCCCCCTATATTACCTTATGTGGTATTGGTTACCCTAACCTGCTCCTCTTACTAGGTAGGCTTTAGGCTTAGCTAAAGAAGTAATAAAAGAAATCTAATACTACTAGTATATAAACTAGAAGCATTGTTTAACTATTAGGTACTAATATACTTTTAATAATTAGTAAAGTTTAAGCTAGATATCTACTAGTATATTAATATACCTCGCGAAAATTGTTTTATAAATCAAACTAAAACACTATATGTCTAGAATTTTCAATAGCTATATATCTTTTAGAATATACTTTTGTTATAAAAGATATACAATTCTTTCTAGTTAACTATTAATTTTAGTACTACTAAATATATATCTAATACTTTTATTTAAATATTAGTTTAATTCTAGTTATATATAACATTTCGAATAGTAGTTATAAATATAGCTTATATAATAGTTTATTTTCTTATTAGGATCTTTACAATCTCTTAATATTTTTAGTAGCTAGAATAAAGATAGATTAGCTTAGAGAAATACTTTAATATATGCTAGTTACTCTACGGACTGTTCTAGTCTATATAAGTTGTCTATACTAGCTATTATACGTACCTAGATGGCAGCGAACAATCAGAGACGAAGGGAAGACAGTTAAGAAGGAAGGGAGGACGAATAGAAAGCACTATATACTAGGGCAGAGGAGGTACTAAAGGCGGAAGATAGAAGAACCCCTAAGAGGGTATATAGGATAATAATCTTAGAACTCCTTAGAGGACTAAAAGCAATCTACAACTAGGCAAGCTACGTAATTATAAAGGTAGCTAATATAGTCGCAACAAAGATTACGAAGAAACAGTAGGAGACAAGCCTAAACTACCGCACCTAGGCAGCAGTAGCTAGTTAGGAGGCGCCAAAACCCCCGAGGACAGTAGTTAGAGTCTACATTACGGACCTATAGGAGCAAAAGGAAATCTAAGGACTTATAGGGAAAGAGATTGTAGAAAGAATTATAGTTAAAGAGGTAATTAGGGCTAGGAACGAAGGTAAAGGGGTAATCAAGCTATTTATAGCACAAGAGTAGGACAAAAAGAAGCTAGAAACACAAAAAGAATAGACAACTAAGATAGGGAAAACAGTAAAGGTCTCCTAACAGCAATTTATAATTATAGCCTATAGTATAATAAGAAGCTTTAAGGAAGAACAGGATATTAAGAGCCTATAGAGACAAAACTAGGCTATATACCTAGGCCTAAAGATCACAAAAGTAGTATAGATTAAAAGAAAAATCGAAGAGACTAAGAAGCAGTCTTCCCTAATTATCTAGGTAGGGAGCGCAGAGCAAGCTAACATAGTGCTAGACTAGGGGTTATTCTAGGACTTTAAAAGATTAGAAACAGAGATACACAGAAGCAACTATAGGATAATATAGTGCTTCAAATGTCAATACTATAGACACTTAGCAGCTAAGTGCACAAAGACAACTAATACCTGCTCCTATTATATAGGGGATTACTAGGTTAAAGAATGTAAAGCATACAAGGGAGAAGCAAGATGTATATACTATACTAAAAGACACCCCTCTTAGGCGAAGGAATGCCTAGTAAGAATATAGGTAGCTAGGAAGGCAAAGGAAGCTAGAATCAATATACTAAAAAGATATACAACAAGCTAGGGCAGCTAGGTATAGAAGCAACCTAGCTAAGTGCTACAAAAGAGGTCTAGATAAGATAATAGGTTTACATTTAGGGCTTTACTAGCACAAGAGAGTCACTAGCAACTAGGGAGACTAAGATACCTTAACATTGCAGGAAAGGAAGCAGGGCAGACAAAGCTTAGTTAAATATTAGTCTAAAGTAAGGGAAGACTAAAGGAAAACTTATAGGGAAATGATATAGATAAAACCCAATAAACATTGCAATATTACTAAACATTATATAGTACCTGCCTCTATCTTAGGCTATTTTCGCTTTGTGCTCGTAACTTCCTTTATGTTCTACGTGTACCGGATCTCGGGTCTTCTCAATGTAGTATAGTATAGAAGGAAGAGCGAGCCGCAGCATACTAGACCTATACTTTATATTATATTAGATTAGGAACAGGATTATAAGATATAAGGTTAACTAGGAACTAGAAGAATCATTAGACCACTTCCCGGTATAGATTAAGCTAAATGTCTAAGCTAATTAGGAAAGGGAACTAGAGGAGAAGCTTAACTAGAAAGGTGCCTAATAGGGCAGGATTAGGGAGGAACTAGAAAGGGACCTAAAACTAGAGGAACTCTTAATAAAGCACCTACTAAGGCTAGAGGACATTAATAAGGCAGTAGAAGAACTAATAGGAATCCTAAAACAGGTAGCTAGAAAGCATACCCTAGCAAAGAAACATTTACTATACTAGCAACTATACTAGACTAGTAAGTATATAAGGAAGGTTAAAGTAGTAAGGAAGGCTAGGAGGTAGTAGATATAAACCTATACCTAGGAAGTATAGGACAACTATAATAAAGCCTACTAGGAAAAGAAGATCTAGATTAAGAAAGATAAGATACAAGAATAGAGATCTATAATAGGAATAATTATAAAGAAACTAGAGGAGATATAGAGGATAGCTAAATAGGCAAGGAGACCTAAATAGGATAAGGATATACTACTACAATTCCCGGACATTATAGACTAATAAGGACAAATGTAGACTATAATAGAAGGGAAAGTAAAAGCCCTAGGCTAACACTTCTTCTATAGAAAAGTATAAGTAGACCTATTAGATATAAAGGAGAAAGAATAAGAGACTCTACTACTAGGTATACTAAGAGACACCTAGGTTAAACCCGAAACTATTAAAAGGATCCTAAAGAAAATTCTAGGCAATAAGGTACTAGGAGAAGACAAGATCTATAACAAACTTCTAAAAGCATATAGGAAGGGGCTAGCCCTAGCACTAGCTAATATCTTTTTATAAAGCCTAGCACTAGGACACTACCTAAGACTATTTAGGAAGTCCCTAACAGTAGTACTAAGGAAGCCCTAGAAGGAAGACTATATATAGCTTAAGGCCTATAGACTAATAGCCCTACTTAATATAATAGGCAAGGTGCTAGAAAAAATTGTCGCTAAAAGGCTAATAACCTTTACCGAGGAAAGGAATATCCTTCCTAAAGGCTAGATAGGAGGAAGAAAGAAGAGGTTAACACTAATAGCTATAGAACTAATTATAGAATAGATCAAGTATATCTAGCACTATAGTCAAAACTAGGTAGCAACCCTCCTCTCCCTTAATATCTTAGGAGCCTTTAACAATATCTCCTATAAAAGGCTCCTATATATACTTAAATAGAAAGCTATACTAAACTAGATAGTCTAATTTATCTAGTCCTTCCTATAGGAAAGATCAACGCAGCTTATTCTAAGCAAATTCAAATTAGACCTAATGCTAACTAAAAAGGGAATCCCTTAAGGATTAATACTCTCCCTAATCCTCTTTCTTATCTTTATAGTAGACCTACTCCTACTCCTAGAATCAAAAAACATATTAGTATTAGGGTTTGTAGATAATAT